GAGGACCACGCCGGGTGTGTGCGCGCTCTCACTGAGCACGCAGCGGCTGTGAGAGAGGCCGAGGCGGCAGAGAAGGCGGCGGAGAAGGCGCTCGAGGCCAAGAGGCGGCGCGAGCAGCGCGAGCGGGAGGAGGCAGCCGCGGCGCGAGAGCGCGAGCAGGCGGCAAGCAGACGGAAGGCAGAGCGGGCGGCGGACGAGGCGCGGCGGGCGGCGGACGCTGCGGCGCTGGAGGAGCATAGGCGAGCCATCGCGGCGGAGGCGGAGGCGAAGCTGGCCGCTGAGCGCGCGGCAGCAGAGGAGACGCTGCGGGCGAGGGTGGCGGAGAAGCTTGCGGCTGAGGAAGAGCAACGAGAGGAGCAGCGGGCGGCGGCAGCTGCTCGCAACGCGGCTCAGGCAGAGGCGGAGCGGCGCGAGAAGGAGGCTGCAGACAAGAGGGCGGAGGAGGAGAAGGCGAAGCGGCTGGCGAAGGCGGCCGAGAAGAAAGCGGTTAGGAAGGAGGCAAAGGAGAAGAATAATAAGGCCAAGAAGGCGCCGCCTGCCTTCAAGCTCGAGGAGGAGCGGAGGGCGAAGGCTGCGGCAGAGCTTCGCGATCAGGAGGAGAGGGCGGTGCGGCTGGCTGCTGAGCAGGAGGCGGCGAGGCGAGCGGAGCGCGAGGCGGCAGAGCGAGCGGGCGCGGCGGAGCGGGCAGCGTTGCGAGAAGCTACGGAGCTAGTAGAGGCGCTGCGCCGGTCAGAGGTGGATGCGGAGGAGGCGGCGCTGGCGCGTCGGGTGTCGCGGTGCGAGGAGGCGGTGAGCAGCGAGTCGACCGGCGGCGGCGGGGACTTGCAGCGGCGTGTCGATCGGCTGGAGGCGAGCCTCGGCGCGGCGACCGAGGGTAGCCTCGAGGAGCGGGTCGGCGCCATCGAGCGCTTGATCGGGCCAGAGGCGGCAGAGTCGGCAGAGCAGCCTCTGCCAGTCACTGAGCCGTTTGCTGCCGTCTCACTAGCGGACGCCGGCCTCGACACGGGGCGGCCGGTTGCCCCCGAGTCCACCATGGGAGGCGAGACGTCGTGCATCATATGCTTCGAGCGGCCGAAGTCTCACCTCGCGGTGCCGTGCAGCCACTTGTGCGTGTGCGGCCCATGCTCCGAGCTGATGCGAGAGTGCCCGTATTGCCGCGAGCCAGTGATGATGTGGCTCGCCCCGCGCCCTGTGTGATTGGAACCACAATACGTATCGGTTGAACCGGCGAATTTTGACCGCGCAAGACAAAAGCAAGGGGGCTCTAAGTACTAAGAGGGGAGTGATTCTGAGATCAGGTTGGGCGACTGGCAGACATTTCAAAAATTTGGCGCCGCAGGCGCCCGCTGCGTGCCCACCATGCTCCATGGTTGGGCGCGCAGCGAGGAAAATTTTGCGCTCTCGACAGCCTTTTCTAATAGGAAAATGGCCTCTACTCGGCGCCATACCGCTTGTCGGCGCACAGCGGAGTTCGCAAGCCGGACCTGCTGCCTTGTTCCCTTCTACGTACACTTTCAGAATGGAGGCTCAAACGCAGCGCAGGGCTCAGACCAAGTGCAAGTCGATTCGTACCAAAAAGTAGACAGTGCCAAAACCGCGGAACCGAAAATGGCGTTTAATTTCGCGCACCTGCTGTCCGCCGCCTGCGGCGGCGCTCCGCACCGCTTGAGGCGCCTGCGGCGCCCCTGGCGGCGCGCTGTCCGCGCGCCCCTCTGTGGTTTTCGTGGGGGGCTCGGCTCGTAAGTCTCGATTTGTACCGGATTTCGACGTTAGTGGCAAAACTGCGGAACCGAAAATGGCGTTTAATTTTGCGCACCTGCTGTCCGCCGCCTGCGGCGGCGCTCCGCGCCGCTTGGGGCGCCTGCGGCGCCCCCCTGGCAGGTGGCAGCAGTGTGTACGGCTGCGGGCGGTGCGCCCAGTAGCAGTACACAACCGGCGCTCTATGGCGTGCTCCGGGGGAGCACGACTACGCAGTCGTGGCTTCCACACGCGAGAGAGTGGCTTCTATATTTACGAAAACATTGGGCGTCCCTAGTGCCGCATCCATAAGAAGTGACGTCACGGTTCCAGGAGCGCTGGCGGCACAGCTTAGAGTGGCAGCCGAGCGCCGGCCACGACTATCGAGTCGCCGTCGCGGAGCTGAGGGCTGGCCGACGGGTGGCGCGGTCTTCCTCCCAGCGCCACCCATCGGTCAGCCCTCAGATCGATCGATCGGCGCTCAAAGTCGCTTCAGATCCGAGAAAGCTGCTGGCGCCGCTGCCGATCCCAGCCGCGACGCCAGCAGCTTCCTCTGCTCTCCAATGCGCCGAGAAGCGACGCGGCGGTGCTCGGCTCGCCATGCACGATGACGGCTCCGCTGGGTGCTCGTCGGCCGGTCCGGTGGCACCCTATTCGCGCGTCACCTGCCGGCGTCCCGACGACAGCCTCGCGCCGCCGCTGATGGAGGGGCGGTCGGCGCCGCTGCCGCCGCGCCGCCGGTGGGAGAGGCACTGGTGGTGGCCTGGGCGGCCCTCCGCCGCCGCTCGGCGCGCCCGGGCAGCGGTGGCAGCCTGCGCCGCCACAGCTTCGAGCGGGCGCCCCCAGCTTCGAGCAGGCGCCCCCAGCTTCCAGCGGGCGCCCGAGACGGGTTCCCCGCTTCGAGCGGGGAGATGCGGCCGGGGATTCGCTTTCTGAAATGTCTGCCTCCAAAGGGGAAACGCCCAACCTGATCTCAGAATCACTCAGGGCTCTGCCCGCAAGGCCGAAGGCGCCCGCGTCGGGCAGATTCGGTACCATTGACAAATCTGCAATACGACTGTATACCCCCACACGAACAAACAGCAAAATCCGAATACCGTGCACAAATGCGGCGATGTGAGCCGTGGACGGGTGCAAGCCTTCAGCTGGTGCCAAGGCATCCGTAAAATTGAAACCAAGAACCCCCGCCAAATGCGTGCTTTCGGCGCAACTTGAGGGGAAGCCCCCGGAGGGATGCTCAACCGCTCCACGCCACGCCGCTAGCGGCGGTGCTATTCCGAGTGCGTCGATTTTCTTCTTTTCGAAAAATTCCGCGGGGAACAAGATGGACGCTCCCTCGCCAATGGACGAGGAGTGCGCCACTCCATCGCCGACGGAGGCTCCCTGGTGCCTCCTGCTCGCGCCGGATCTCCCCTTTGGCGCGGTGGAATGGTGGCGGCCCCGGCAGATGGTGCTCCTCCGCTCCACTTGCAAGGCCTTCCGCAGCGGCCAGTCGCACGAGGAGAGCCTCTTCAACGTGCTGACTGCTGGCCTGGGCGCGCCGGAGAAGGTGTGGACCCGCATCACCAATGCGTCCGCGCTATACGACCTCTGCCACCGCCTTTTCGAGGAACGCCTGCTCATCGCGACGCTGCCCAAGGTGGCCGCGGCGGCGGCGGGCCTGTCATCGGCGGACCCGATGGCGCGCCACTGCGCCCTCACAAGTGGCGGCTTCTCGCTCCACCGCTATATGCGCGACGTCGAGGGCCAGATACCAAAGTGGAAGCCGTCGGACTGTGATGTCTTCATTCCCTGCGGCTGCGCGCACGACGCGCCGATCGAGGAGCTAGAGCGGTCGCAGGCTGTGTGGGACTCGGTCCTCGACCACGTCCAAAGCTCGATGCTCTCGCTCTTTCCGGGCGAGCTCGTGCCGGGCATGGTCACGGTGCGCATCTCCATCTCGCATGACGGGTATATGGAAGAGCGTGAGGTTGACCTGACTGCGGCGGAGCGTGGGGCAGCTTTCGCGGAGGGGTACGCGCCGTCCGAGGCAGTCTCGAGCGACGGCGAGGCAGCTCTTGTCACCGACGAGGACGCCCACAGCGACGATGATTACTACTCCTCGCGGCGCAGCGTCACAGTGCGGTACGAGCAGAGGCCCAAGGAACAGACGAAAACGGCCGACAAGTTCCGCGAGCCGCGCAAGCCGAATCGCGGGCACGTCTACTCGATGGCACTACTGCGGCGGGTGGCGCGCTGCGGCCAAGGTGAGCTCGCCCAATACGTCGGCGAGCACACCGGCGCGGTAGAAAATCTCCCGCATGAGTTCATGCCCTTCTGGAGCACCCCCCCGGAGCAGCTCGAGTACCTGTCGAGCCTGCAAGGCACGCTCAAGCGGCTGGACGCGTGCAAGATGCTCGAGCCGGGCCCACACGGCGATACGGCCGGCCTGCCGCGCGCGTACAAAATTGCTCGTGTGGTGCACGTCACGGCTTCTCTCAACAGCTCGGCGACCAGTAAGCGGATCGCCCTCCCGCGTCGCGAGTTTTCGGCCAACGTGTCGAGCGATGATAGGAGGTCGGCGGTTCGTGCCTCCATGGCTGAGAATGCGCTCGACCTCTTCCCCAGGAGCATCAACGTCATTCAGTACCACGGCGCGCCGATCACTGCGCTGCAGCTCACCGGCAGCTTCGACCTCCCGCCGCCCCAGGTCACCGTGTGCGTCGACGCCGGCAGCGCACGCCCGCGCTTCGAGCTGACGCCTCTGGCGGAGGAGGCGCTGCGCTCGCGCGTGCTGCGGCCGCACAAGTACACGTGGGGCGCCTGCTACGTGCCTCCCTCCCTCCGCGACGAGAGGGAGGAGGACGTGGCCATGCCAAAGCATGTGCTGCGCGAGCACGGCCCGGTCTACAATCAGCTGCAGCGCATCGTCAAGTACGTGGAGCGCGGCTTCAGCCTGCCCGACGCGGCGGCGCAGGCCTGACGTCAGAGGCTTGCACACATAGCGCCGCCCCGTATGAAGCCGCGCTCCACGTACTTGACGTGTCGGCGTCGCTGCGTGTGGACGGCGAGAAATCGATCTCTGTGCATTCCCTTGGCCGCGTGGTGCGTTCCGCTTCACCGGCTTCCGCGAGACACCCCGTGTCTCGTTGCTTTACCGCGTGTGTTTTCAGATTTCACTCGTCGTGCGTTCTCTTCCTCTCCTTTGAGACACTCGAGACCGTTTTGTCTTTTGAACACGCCTCATGTGCAACCGACATATACACAGTCAGTCACAAAACAACGTGCGGGGATCCCTTTATGGGCAGCAGTTCCGCTGCGGTTCGCTGGTTGCACCCGCCACGCAACAGGAGGCGATCCGTCATGCTCCACTGCATGTCTCGAGCCGGCGCACGCAATCCGCCATGTCGGCATCGCTGACCGCGTTCGGGTCGAGGCGCTGCGCGCAGTCGCGGGGGTACTCGCCGCGGTCAGCCTGCCTCTCCAGGAGGCGCCGGCACGCGGTCGCCGCCCGCCGCCCGCTCTCCGAGGCCGGGTCTGCCGCGCGCATCTCCTCGAGCGCGGCCGCGAGGTTGGCGCCGTCGACGCGGTTTTCCGTGATTGCAATCGTGGGCGACAAGTTGAGGACGGCGTGCCACCAGCCAGACGGCACGAACATCGTCTCGCCCTCGCGGAGCACGCACTGCTGCGGCCGCTCCTCGGGCGGAAGCGAGCCCAGCACCCGCCCAAAGAATGCGCGCGGCGAGCTGGCGGCGACCCCGGCCGGCAAGCCGGCCAGCCCGGCGGGTACAGGGCCCACCGCTTGCGCCCGGAGAGGAGGGCGTTCCAGGCACTCGTGTTCCACGGGTCGATGTGCCACGCGGACCCGGAGCCGCCCGCCGAGACGAGCGCCCAGCGCGAGTGGACGTGGAACGAGGCCTGCTGTGCCGCCGCGTCCGTCACGTCCGCGCGGCGAGGGAAGCACTGCTGCGTGCGCAGCAGCGACGGCTGGACGAGCGGGACGGGCGAGTAGCCCGCCAGCAGCGGGTGGCGGTAGGCGGTGGACACGTCGTCCAAGTTGACGTACCTATGCCGAGATCACACCAGAGATCGCCCGTCTTCACTACAGATGATGGCGACGGTTGCAGAGCCAGCTGCACTGGTTGTCGAGCGTCTCGCCGTGCGCGAAGGGCCGCACGCCAAAGAACGAGGCCGGGTTAGCTCGCGCGTACGGCGGGAGGGCGTAGGCGCGGCGCATCAGCGATCGCGCGAGCGACTGCCCTGCCCGGTGAGAGACGTCCGTGCTGCCCTCCTCCTCTGCCCAAGCGGCCGCGGGCCAGGCCGCCGTCAGGCCGCTCACGATGACGGGGATGCCCGGCTGGTTGAAGCCTTTCTCAAAGGCGTCGGCCGTGAGGTCCGGCCAGCTGCGCCGCGCTATGTCGCACGGAAGCTGCTCGCTGTCTCCCTCCTCGGCGGCACGCGCCTCGTGGACGGCACTCGGCCACGCAGGAAGCTCCGAGCTGCGCAGCGGCGCGAGGTACTGCTCGGGGCACAGCCCGGAGAGAGTGCCGTCGCAGTGAACGATGAGCTCCGCGAGAACGTCGCGCGCCAGAACCTGCCTGCCCTGGCACTCCCGAAAGCCAGAAGCGGACTCACCGGGGTGGCAGCGAGTGCCGAGGACTCGGGTCGCGCTCGAGAGGGCCTCGCTCACCCACGCCTGCACTGTCGCGCGGTCCAGCTCATAAGGCGGATCTGCTGCTGCCAGCGCGGCGAGCTCGGCCAAAGGATAGCCAGCGGTTCGGATCGCTGCCGCCCTCGAGTCCGGCCGCACTACGGAGGTATGCGACAGCGTGGTGGAGGCCGCCGGAAGAGGCTGCAAATGCCGAAGCTGCGCTCTGATAGTCGGATGGACCCCAAGACGCAGCGTCAGGCTCCGAAGCGAGGAGAAGATGTGCTAAAGCGCCAATCGCCAGCAGACTCGTGATTTGCGAGGCGCGCATTGCCTCGGACGTGCCGAAAAAAGAATTGTGGGCGGCCCCCACGCAGTAGTTGCTCCCACCGACGCCGCCGAAGCTCACAGGGCTTGCCGCGCGGGTGGGGGGGGCGGCACACAATTTGCCGTGTGTGCTCGCAACAGCAAAGCTCGCTCCTGCTCGCTGTGTGTATGTGTGTGAGTAGGCCTGATTTGAGAGAGAGATTTTTAGCAATACAAAAAAAGATGCTTTACTCCCAAGCAACTGATTTTAGGTTCAAACGCCTCGTTTACTGCATGTCACAGTGAGCTATCCACCACTGGGCCGGCGCGGGGCCCCCCGGAGGCACCGTGCGCCGCGCCGCAGTGCGGAAACGGGGCTCCGGCTCTATGAGTCTCTATGAGCACCGACTTCCCGAATGATCACGGTTGATCAGAGGGCAGATTTGGAGAGATCTCGAGGAGTACATACAGATAGACCCTCCAACCATCAGAAAACTCCGACCTGATCGGTCGTACTGACCGCCGACAGATCACTCCAGACAGCAGACAGGCCGACGTCTGCACGCGGCCGGCCGGGCGAGAGGCTTGACACGATCCGACCCTGCGACCCTGACGCTGCTGCTCTAGCTATCAGCCATGCACTGCTGACTGCTGCCACAATGTGCGACCTGTGCTGGCCCACTTGGCGGCCTTCCCGGTCAGTGGTGAGGCGCAGTTCAGAGCTGTCGATGGCGCGATGCCGCACTGGTCCCACATTGGTGACACGAGACCACCACGTTTGCCGGTCCAAGAGAGAGGCACCGGCGCTGTCCTGAGAAGGTGCGTGGTCCCTCTTGACTACCCATGCGCGCGAGGCTGTGTAGGCATAGCCTCGAGAGTGCCAGCAGCCAATCCGAGGTGACGCCTGACGCGCATTGCGCCAGAAGCGTGCACGCAGCTGGAAGGACACCTTCCTACTGGCCGTACGATCAGGTCGTCACTGAATGCTGGATACTAAGGCCGCGAGCTATGCAGGTGATCAATTGTGCATCATGGCACGGTCAGCAGCGCCGACAGGCTGTCGCAAGGCGTGATAGCATGGCCGCAAGTACGCCGAATTCCCATGAAAACAAGTAAAAAATCGCGAAAAAAGAAAAAAAACTCCAAAAAATCGGCGCCTGCGGCGGGCCAGGGGACCCCATCTCCCCCCCGCATGGACACCCTCTGGGGCCCCCGCGCCGGCCCAGAGCTATCCACCCCGACGCATGCGGCTTGCGGGGTCCGTACGTAGAAATTGGGACTTTTACCACACGATGTGCACGCCTGTCTGTCACTCTTACACTTAAAAATAAAATATTCTTAGCTTCAAGCCCCCCTCCGAGACTGGAGACAGAACCCACCCGTACACAGGAGAGATGGGACTGCCCCCCGCCCCCACTTGCCCTGACTACACAGGATAGCGTGCCCCGAAGACGGCGACACATAGTGGGGGACACTGCGCAAGGAGGGGGTGCGAAAGCTCATTGGGGTGCTAGGTGGGACCATGAGGGGGGGTGGGCGGGGTCCTGTGGGGGTGAAATGTTGCGCGGCGAATTCGAGCCTACCCCCTCGCCGCGCCGATCCTCACGCGGAGGGTAAAACCCTGTGGGACAAAACCCCTCCGCGGTCGGCTGGGATGTGTTGTTCTGATTTGTGCACCGCCGGTGTCTCAACAGAATTTTACAAGAAAGCTCCCTCTGTAAAATGGGCACGGGGCGCGGGACTGGCGCGCACTGGCACTAATCGATCGATGGCACTAATACAACAGAATCGGATGCAAGACCTCGAGAGCGCGTTATGCGGATGGACGGACGACGTCTGAGCGGTGTGCTCGATGCAGACTGACGGCGAGCCGCCCATCACTGTGGTGGAGGCTGACGGCGAGCCGCCCGTCACTGTGGTGGAGGCTAACGGCGACGAACCGCCCGTCACTGTGGTTGAGGTCGTCGCCGTGGAGGTGCTCGCTCCGGCAGGCGCCGTGGAGGTGCTCGCAACGGCCGATGCCGTGCCCGTGGAGGTGCTCGCTCCGGCAGGCGCCGTGGAGGTGCTCGGCAGCAGCAGCGAGGCTGTGTCGGCGGCCACGAGCGACGCTTGCGTGTGCTCCGAGTGCAAGAAGGTGCACCCCCAGTCGAGCTTTTCGAAAACCCAGTGGAGCAAGCCAGTGGAACAGAGGCGGTGCAAGTCCTGCATTGGTCCCCCACCCCCAACAAAGGTTGAAGTGAAGCGCATGGCTCGTGAGCAGGACAGTCAGCACTGCCAGGAGCTGGAAAGTGGATGCTACTCGATGGCACCGCCGTGCTGCTGCTTCCGATGCTCTTGGTTGCAATTCGACGAGAGCAAAACCCGATTTACCGAAGGCCCAACGTTGACTCACTGCTGCTGCTGCTGGCCTTCTTGTGGTACCTACGAGTACGTTCGAATGGAGCAGCCAGGTGTTGCGAGAGATATGCCGCCGCAGTTTGAGCTCACCGAAAAAGATTGTTGCTGCGGACTGGAAGGAAGGCTCGGATGGCCGCCTCTCCCCACCCGATGGTGCTGACGGTGAGCGTCTCGGGCGCCTCGCCACCCGCCTTTGCGGTAGACGGTCGCGAAGTCGGTTGGTAAATTCCCACACAATGCGCGTTTGTTATCTCTTTGTTGTAGCCCCCTTTTTGGGAAGTAATTAATGATCCATGCGCATTGACCATTGTTTCAGAGAGAGAGAGAGAGATTTTTAGCAATACCAACCAACTCTAACACTCACACGTCATTTGGGGCCTGGAGCCCTGTTCACGCGCGCGTTTTGTTGTTTCAAGACTCTTGCTTGTGTTTCACCGTTTAGCTTTTTGCTTATTCACTTAGTAGTGAAGACAAACAAAGCAGAAACTAGCGCAGACGAGAGCAGGGGGCCCGGGGACTGGAAGCCGGAGCAGCATACCCGGAGGTAGGCGCACCGTGGCTATCGACCTGGGCAGGTTTTTCATAATTTTTATTTGCTTCCTGAAAATGTCGTTGGCCCGAAGCTGCAGTGCCGTCGCGGCTCGCCGCGGCTGCGGCTGCGGCGTCGCCCGCCTCGGCCGCCGAGCATTCTCGGCGTCGAGGGACGAGCCGGACGGCGCGGCGGCCGCCGAAGTCAGCAGAGCCGAGTACGAGTCGGACGCGTGGCCGGATGGGACGCCGAAGCGGTGGCGCGGACGCGACGCGTGGAAGAACTACATCGACTTTGACAGCCCGCACAGGACCCAGTCGGACGAGCTGAATCGGCAGCGAATCTACTTCTTCCACATCGACGCGCGAGGCCGGCTGTGGCGCAAGGAGCTGCACAAGCCGGACGGGCACGATGGACAGATGCGTGACCCGCGGATGCTCGACTTCTTTTTTGGGCACATGCAGCGCAACACGACGGGGATGCACGAGGATCGGTACCCGTACCTCTCGCGGCGCGCGCACGAGCGCTACTTCGCCTCCTGCGACGAGGCGCCAATCGTCTTCAACGACCTGCGAGATGGCGAGCGTCGCTCCTGCTGCGGGGCGACACGGGCACGTCCATGACACGTCCATGACACGTCCGTGTCGTCTCCCTCAGGTGAGCTGCGCTTCCTCTGCCCGGACGGCGCGCTTGCCCGCTCCATCTCGACGCCGTTTGCGCCGAGCGAGCTCCGCATCGCGGCGGATGGCAAGCTGCTGCACCCCGTCGTCACTGCGGCGGTGGACGAGGTCGGGGAGAGGCCGCGGGGGGAGCGGCTGATGGCGCTCATCGAGTCGGGCACCGCGAGTCGGCTGCTCGAGAGCTGCGAGGAGCAAGGCGAGGCCATCGTGCTGACCTGGCGAGGCGAGGAGACGGTGCTACTGCCGCTCGACTCCGAGACATAGTCGCGGCCTCTTGAGAAATTTGCCCTTGCCTCCGCCGCGATCCGGCGTCTCAACATCAGAGCGAGTGTGTTAGTAAGCGTGAACCTCTCGGGGCGCGCGCATCTGCTTAATAAATAAATACATAGGAAAACGGACACACCAAACAAGGGAGAAGGACAGGGTCCCCACCTGCGCGAGCAGGATCTTGTAAGGACGATCAGGGACACAGGGGAACGGGAGCGGGGAGGCGGCAGTTGCAGCGCGGTTCGCGCTCTTTCTTTTATCTTAAGAATTCTTTTATCCCGACCTAGGTAGCCTGTCGACCCTCTTAGAGGAGGAAGTGACAAGGGAGAGAACGACGAGGGTGGGACGACCGCGTGGTGGCATGAAGGTTGCAGCGAGAATCAGCGAGAGACTGCGAAGAGAGATAGGAAGAGGCAGACTCCCTAGGGTGGGCGACGGATAGCGCACCACACACCTCTCCTTAAAATCCCTGTGTGGTGGCGGCGTGCCGTCCTCCCATCCCTCCCTTGAAGTGTCTGTTTTCTTTCTTTCTTTCTTTGTCGACCCTCTTCCAGATAGATGAGGGTGCACCTCGTTCGGCACGGCGAGGTGCACAACCCGCGCTCCGTGATGTACGGCCGGCTCCCGCGCTTCCGCCTCAGCGCTCACGGCGTCCGGCAGGCCGAGGAGGCAGCCGCACATCTCGCGAGCCGCCAGCTTGCACTGATCCTCTGCTCACCGATGCTGCGCGCGCGGACGACGGCGCGGGAGCTGCAGCGGGGGCAGGCGAGGGCGCACCGGCAGCCGCAGGGTCCGCCGCTTCGCCAAGAGGCGGCGCTACTGGAGGTGCACACGCCGCACGACGGCAAGCCCCTCAGCACATTTGCCGGGCGGTGGCACGCTCTGTACGATGACGTTCCCGAGGGCTACGAGACCTTCGAGGCCGTCGCGTCGCGGTTGCGCAGCCTGCTCGCGCGGCTCGCCGCCGACTTCGGTGAGGACGCCGAGGTCGCCTGCGTGACGCACGGCGACGTCGTCTTCTCGGCGCGGCTTCTCGCGGAAGGTCTGCCGACGACTCTCGCGTCCAAGAAGCGGGAGGACGCGCGGCTCTACCCGGCCACCGCCTCCATCGTCTCGCTCGACGTTGACGCTGACGGCAGCGTGCGCGGCGGCGCGTACTGGGCTCCCACCCGCGCGCCCGACCGTTTCACCGAGACGCAGGCGCAGGCTCCGGCGCTCTGCGGGGCGGCGGCGGCTGAGGAGGGCGGGGGAGGCGGCGGTGAGACGCCCGCGCGGAAGGCGAAGAGGAGCCGCAGAGGGGTTTCGTGACACCACCCCGCGCAGTCCCATGCGAACGTATCATGCGGCGAGAACACCCGTGCGCGAGGCCGAGGGGTAACGGCGGGCGTAAGAGTCTCGCAGGTACGGTATATATCGAATATCGTCAGTTGAACCTAGACGACGTCCCGGTGCACGTACGCAAAAAGGAGGGAGGCACTACGGGGGATGAGAGCCCGGCTACCGATGAGAGCCCGCACGCCACACACCTCCCGCTCCCCTGTGCGCTGTGGCGCTGTGCACAGAGAGGAGCCTCTCCTCTCGCGTCGCTCTCGCGCGGGGGGGTCGACCGGGGAGATGGCTGGCGTCCGCGCCGCCGCCGCCGAACCCGGCTCGCCTCGCGACGAGAGCGCCACTGCCAAGGCCTACTAGGAGAGGAAGACACGCACCGCCCGATTCACGGGAGCTCGGCACATCGGGCAGTACTGGAGCTGATCAATACAGCTGGCACAAGCGCAGTAGTGGCCACAGGGGACTAGCACGTGAGAGCTCGGCTTGTCGAGACAGATGACACACTCGAGGCCGGGATGGTCGGACGGAACTGCCGTGCCATGCCTGTCAGGAATCGATTCATTGACGGGCTCCCTGGTCTCATCAACGCCGTGGCTCCCTCGACAGCGCCTCGAGCGCCTTTGCGGGACCTTGTACCGCACCGGCCGGCGTTGCGTCGCCGAGTCGAGGGCATGAGAGGCCAAACGAGCGCCCCCTACGTTGTCGGCGGCGTCCTCGCCTGACGTAGGAGAGCGAGCGGTTGTCATCGCTTGCTCCACATTGCTGCGCCTGGACCTCGCGAACTCGATTTGGCGAGGCGGAAGGGCCTTCATCAGTGCCAAGTACCTCCCCTTCCCCTCGCCGTACGAAACGTGTAGAACCTGGAACGGAAAATTCCAACGTTGAGCAGAATTGAAAGCGGAAGCAGCTGCGTGCAACAAGTAGCGCTCCGAGCTGTTCAACGACGATGGCAGCTCCATATATGCGAGCGCCGACTGCGGGCGAATTTGAGAATCTGCTCACGCGCATACCGCATCGGCGGCTCGTCGCCATCACGGCTCAGGGGGTGGCGCGTAGGAAAGGCACCTTCGAAACCGCCGCCCTGAGGCGCCGCAGCCTTCTCCATCGTGCGCGCAGCCCGACGACAGGGCTTCTCCGGAAGCCGCACCAACAGCTCGCCCTTTCTCATGTAGCTCGCGGCCGATGTGGGCGGTCGATACGGCACGTCGGGCACTTGCTGCGTCGCCGGCGCTGTCGGCCACGCCTCGCCTTGGATGTCTGCAGTCGGCACATCCAGCTCAATCAAGCGCTCGATGGCGCCGAGCCGCTCTTCCAGGCTTCCCTCGCCTGACACACCTAGGTCCGTTTCCAGCTGATCGATCCGTTGCGCGAGGTGCGATCCGTCGGCAAGAGGCTCGCTCCCCACCGCTTCCTCACACCTCGCCACCCGCCGAGTGGCACACGTGCTCTCCAAAGGAGCGACAATGCAGCGCCCAGCAACCTCCTCCTCAAGCGCGGCGGCAACCTCCTCCTCGAGGATCAGGTCGGTATTCCTCTTATCGACCGCAGACAGCGTAAAGCCCTCGAGTGCCGCGAGTACCTCCTCGTCTAGGCGCAGCATATGTGCATTCGAAGTGCTCGTGTTTAGCTCCCCCACGCGTTCCCGCCATCCATGATATTCGGTGGCATGCGCAGAAAGAAAGAGCGCCCCCTCATCCGGCCCGCTGGGTGCGCTTCTTAGCTCCCCGGCCCTGGATGTGAGGCTAATGACTGCACTCCAAGTGCTCCAAGTGCCCCTCCTCTCCTTAAAATCCCTTTGGTGGCGGTGCCGTCCTCCATCCCTCCTTGGGTTGGCTGTTTTCTTTCTTTCTTTCTTTCGCCGTCCGACTGTAGGACTAGCACACCTCTGTCAAGAGTCCCCACCGAGGAATCACACAGTCCCTGTGTGATGCACGCCCTGCGCGAGCGGGGCGGGGTGCGGCGTGCGCACTGTGCCTCTGTGTTCGTGCGTCGCCCATCTCTCCTGGAGACAGTCCGCAACGAACGCGGCGCCGACGAGGCTTCTTTCTTCTTTTCATTCCTACCCCCCCCCCTATCGCCCTATGCGTGGGGCAAAATGCCATATGGCAGGAGAATAATGGCATGGCGTCGACACCGTCGTCGTCGTCGTGGCCGCGGCGGCGGCGTTTGCCGCTGACCACAGTCGCCGGCTCGCGTCACGGCCTGACATGCCAGTCAGGCATCTGCTTGCACCGGCCCTCCTGCACTGCCGCACTCCACTTGGCAACCCAGCCGGGCAGCATCTCTGCCGCACGCCGCTTTGGCTTGCGCAAGACCAACACGGGCTGATGCTGCCAGTCCCAATATTCGCCGCCCGGGTGTCTGCTCCGTCCCCAGTCGCCGCGCGGCGCAAAGCCGCGGCGCATCACTCGGCCGGTGCGCCCGTACCAGAGGGTCGGCGTCTCGTTTGCCCGCTCGAGGCCTCCCCTCACCACATGACCGTCCCAAACACGGGCGACGAGCTCAAAGTCGCGGATGAGAAGCGGCAGACGGGTCGGGCCGTAGAGCCGGTGGCCGTTTACGATGGTGGCGTCGGTGTCCGAGGTGGGGACACCGAGCAGCAGCACACCACCGGGCCGCAGCTGGAGCCACACCTCCCGCATCGCAGCCAGGTCGCCGTCGGGGTCAAGGGGGTCGTGATACCGGCCGAGGCCATCATGCTCGATTCCGGAGAAGGAGACGATGAGGTCAAAGGCTGATCCGCGGGAGCAGTAGTGGCTGCACGCCTGGCCTAGCTCCATCGCCATCAGGCGGTCTCCCCGCGCATCGATGCGAGGCGCGTTATAGTCGACCGTCAACACGCGGCGAGCCACGCCGTTGCGAAGGAGTGCCGACTCGAGCCACGGAGAGATGGATGACCACACAGCCGTGCGGGGCTGCGTCGCACCCAACGCGGCCACCTGCGTCAATGCGAGCAGAACGTCCTCGGCCGCGTGTGGGTAGTCGGGCGGTGATACGGACTGGCCCTGCTCCAGCCGGCGATCGAGGGCGGCGAGCAGCGCCTCTGTCCACACAGGCCGCCCGCTATCCCATCCGACGAGGCCGTGTGTCCCCACCGACAACTGCCCGGGGTGCACTGTGGCCCGTTGCACCTTGCCGTCGGAGCGAGGTTGGTGTGGCGTGCTGTTACTGCAAGGCCTCACCGTCGACCGAAGGGATGCCCAGAGGAGCTGGCGGCAGATCTGCTCGTCACTCATCTCTCTCTCTCTCTCTCTCTCTCCCATGCTGGGTCGTCAAGCCACCAGAACGGCGGTTTCAGGGGACGCGCGGCCGACTGGTCTGAAGTTGGAGAAAAGTTGTAATTGTGCTCTCTTAAGAAAGAATTTACTTATTAAGAAAACGGACAACCCAAGGGAGGGATGGATGATGGAGGACGGCACGCCGCCACCACACAGGGATTTTAAGGAGAGGGGTGAGGTGCACTAGCCGTCGCCCACCCTTGGGCGTCCGCCTCTTCCTATCTCTCTTCGCAGTCTCTCCCCGATTCTCGCTGCGACCTTCGTGCCACCTCGCGGTCGCCCCCTTCTCGTCGTGCTCTCCCTTGTCGCTTCTTCCTCTGTCGCGTCGCTCTCCTCTGTCTCGTTCTGCGACGCCGCCGCCGCCTGATATTGTGCTCTCTTTACAACACTGGGAAGCCGGCGGATTTCTTCTGTCTTGCGCGTGCCTCTACAGCCCCGACTGCATCCGCAACCATGCTGATCACGAAGAAGAACCGCCTCGCGATCCTCTCCTACCTCTTCAAGGGTGTGCACTCGCCCGCCTGGTCGCCCGGCCTCCTCCGCTGCCGCTACCACTGCCGCGGTCCGGCCCTGCTGCAGCGACGCTCGTGCGCTCCACCTTTGCGCGTGCGTCACAGCTGGCAGCTCAGCCCACACGTCCTGCCGCCCGTAGCCCACCGCCTGCCGCTCACACTAGCTGGCCCTCGCTCGCAGAGGGCGTGATCGTCGCCGAGAAGACGACCGGCCACACTGACCGCAATGCCCTCATGCTCCACCCGGACATCATGGGCGTCTCAACCTCATTTTGCGAGGATGGCGCCGTCAAGACGTCGCCGCAGCGCGTGCGCAACCTCGAGGTGCGAGATGGGGAAAGATGTAGGGAGATGTGGGGCGGACTGCGCGCGGTGGGATCCGAGTGAGCCGGGCACATGCAGAGGCACACAGGCGGGGCACACATAGCAGCACACAGACATGCATCTCTCCGCGCGTCTCAAGTCGCGTATCCTTGCTTAGGTGATCAAGCTGATGCAGTCGCTCACCTCGAAGGAGCTCGTCACCGAGCGCTTCGCCTGGAAGCACTACTACTGGTTCCTCAAGGACGAGGGCATCGAGTACCTGCGGGAGGGAGCTCACCCCCCACCCCCGCGGCAGCCTGGGCAAAGCCCCCCCCCCCCCCCCCCTCCGCGCCCGCCGGCTCCTTTCCTCGCCCTATCCACCCCACCCCCGCCTCGCAAAGGTACCTCCACATCCCCGAGGACGTCGTCCCAAACACGCTCAAGAAGTCGACCAAGCCCGCGGCGCCGGAGCGCCCGGGTGGTGACCGCGATGGCGAGCGCGGACCGCCGCGTGGCGACCGCGATGGCTACCGCCGCGGCCCGCCCGGCGGCGAGGGGGGATACCGCGGCTTTGGCCGTGGCGGCGGCGCCCCGCGCCCGCCTGCCTAGGCAGGCGCGTCCGCGTCCGATTCGGGAGTCTTGGCGGAACAACCACCACCCGCTCGAGTGTTTGGTTCTCTCACTAGCCCGCTGCTGTACCGCCCAACGTGGGTGTAGGCCACCCCTTTCGAGGAGTGTGCTGTTCGCTCGTTGGTCGGGCGGGGCCGCGCTTGAGCGTGTTGGGTGGTGTGCGTTTTGTTTGCAGTCTCCCGCTTGAGCACTTGGAAAAAGTAAAATATCTTTACTTCCAAAACCCGGGCCTCCACCGGCACGCCGCTTCCGAGCACTTGGAGCACTTGGAGTGCGGTCATCGGTCGCACGCCCAGGGCTGGGGCGCTGAGAAGCGCGCACAGCCAGCTGGCCGACCATCGACAGACCATGGAAGAAGAATTCTTGCGGTTGCCGTACTCTCCTGTACGAATGGTTGGGCAAGTAGTGAGGGACACGATCCCGGCGTGAACACGCCGATCTGACAAAATCCCGAGTGCCTACCGCACGCGCCGCGTTGCGGCGCGTGCGGTAGGCTTTGTTTGAAGTGAAAAGTCCAGTCAGATATCGAGCTGCACGCGAGAGCGGTTCGGGCATGAGCCAAATTACTTTCGGAGGTTTCACCTCAGTAACTAACTAAGTAAGGAATGCATATTGTGACATCATCGAGCATGTCATACCAGTACTGCTTTTTGAGGCTCTTCTTAGCAGGAGGACCGCCTTGCAAGTGCGTGCGCGTCTTCCAATTCCCTTGCTCAATATCCAGATGATAGGGCAGGCCGTAGGGAAAGCTACTTGCTCCAAGAGGTAGCCAAGGTCCGTTCGAGTATACCGAAGTTGAAACCCTCGCCCAGGATGGAACTGATCTTAGGCCAGTTGACCAGCGCTCGAACGCCTCTGCCCATGTCGCAAAATAATTCCATGTCACCTGACTCGTTCCATCCCCTGTTCCTTGGTACTGGACGAATGTATGTTGCTCTCTCCAATCGTACAGCTCTTTGAGTTCATTATCTGAGTTCGTTACGACTCCTTGCTCAATCCCCTCAGGTCCGACCGACTGCGTTTCGTTCATCAAGTTCCGAAGGTCCTTGCGTACGTACTTATAGCTTACTGGGAGAAAAGAGAGAGGGGGTTGTGTTCTCTAGGCCCCTAAGGGCCCTACGCGCGGCGTGAGAGCTCGGAAGCGAGCTTTGCACGCTCTCTCTCTCATATGCGAGCTTTGGTGTCTGAAGTTTTGCGCGCATTCATCTGCGCACCTTCCCCGGTCCTCACTTCGGACCCTCCGCTCTCCCCGCTCGGCACCGCAGCACCATGGCAAGCACCCCGCAGAAGGGACGCGCGTACTTCGTGAGCAGCCCTGCAGCCCCCATACTGCACCGCCGTCCCAGGCACTCCTGAATCGCCCCACGCACCTCTGTCCACACAGGGCGAAATGCGCCGGGCGGCAACCAGACGCCGGGCAAGGCGTCCAAGAAGCTCAAGGACTCCAAGTTCGGCGAGACGATCGTCGAGGAGGTGCGCTCCCGCTACACGGCCGCCCTCTCTCACCTTCCTGACCCCGCGTTGCGCCTCCTTCAGAACCAAGTGAGCGTGACCGTCATGATGACCGGCGTCGCCCTCGTCGAGATGGGCTACGACAAGGAGCTGCGGGTGTGAGCCGAATCAGGGCGCCGTCGGCGTTGTCCCTGGATTTCCTCTCACGGACCGCCCGTCCGGCACCGCTCCGGGACGCACGCCGGCGAAGCACCATCAAGGGCTGCTGTACGGCCCCGGCATCGCCTCCCCTGGCTTAGCTCTCAGTCACGATATTGTGCACATGGCTCATGGGTAGCCTCTACAATGTACACACTGACACTGAACCTCCCAGAGCTCGTCCCGGTCCGCCACGGCCATCCTTGGCCTCCGGAGGGCCCCCGGCCGCGGCGCGGTGCGGCGGCGTCACAAATCCGACGTCAGTTCACCGGGACGCGGTCGGGCGATCTGAGGCCCAACTAGGCGTATGCATTGCCCATTCAGGGCTATCACCTGGACCCATCAACAGGCGCCTGTGGATCCGTGGCACGAGGTGTTGTTCACACCTGCCCAACCATTCATACAGCACAGTAAAGCAAGGTACTCGCAGAATGTTGGTAAACGAAAGTACCGTATTCGGTACTATCAAGAAAGACACCGAAAAAAGTCGCCGCGGCAGTCCACGACGAGCCAGCCTGCTGCCGGCTCGCACGGCAGCCTCTTCCTATGGACCAGCCTCGACTTCCATACAGTCAACATTTTGTCGCTGCGTGCTCGTGGCGAGCTGTGGCGGCGGTCGAAGTTGGCCCAGATTCGGTGACGAGCGCCGGACGATAGTACCGCCTCTGTTCGCCCTGTGCATGTCAGGCCAGGCTGCAGCAGGGCACTACCAACGTGCTGCCCTGTTGCAGCCTGACTTTGCCCACTGTGCACAGTCGCCAGAGCACCACCACCGCCCGGCATCGTGTCACGGCGAGCTCCTTCTGCGCCCGCTCGCGAGGCTCTCGCGCTGGCACACTTTGGCCATCTGCTGCTCGCGTTCGGCGAGCTCTTCTCCGCACTCCTGCCACGGTGCCGTCACCACACACCTTCTGGCTGGCCTGAGCCGCGCGGGGTCGCCGGCGGGGGCAACGCGTCGACCTCTCTCTCTGGTGCACCACGGGCCGCAACGGCCTGCTAGCAGCGTGCGCGAGGAGGCAGTGTGCCGGCACAGTCGAGCCGGAGCATCGGGTTCTTGATGCTTCTGGGGTCAAGTTTGACCTTATGTGGCATAATATGCAACAATAATGCGATGCTATCTCCCGGCTTTTTGAGATATGATCCCTCAAAGACAAAGTCGAATTTTCGTTTACTGGTGACCATAGGTACCGTCTGTCCGGTTTGCGTTTCTTCAAACGAAACACTTTAAGTCTCGACAATCACTAAGCTGCTTATGTGGCACCGCAGAGGCTCCCTTGGGGATGCCTGAGGCCACCCCAACCACTCACTAAGCCGTACGTAGACGAATTGGGCACTTGGAGCACTTGGAGTGCAGTTGGCAGCCTCACATCCAGGGCCGGGGAGCTCAGAAGCGCACCCAGCGGGCCGGATGATCGGGATCGGGTTGCGGGCAAGATAGCCCTAGCCCCGGGGGTGCGCGTTCGCAGGGTTGGCCTGTCCGAGGGTTTCCTCTCGCACCCTACCTGGTTTCCTTTCCGTGTTTCCTGCTCGTTTCCCTACAACACCCTCTAGTTTCCTCGGGAAACCCCGGGGAAACTCCGTGGAATTCGTCATTTTGGGGGGGCTCTGAGCCGTGTCTGAGGCTGTTTTGGGGCCAAAATCGGCAAAATACCGGGTATTTTGCGGGTATACCTGGAAAACCCCGGTATACCTGGAAAATACCTGGGTATCGTGCCGATTTCCTCAATTTTGCCCCAGATTTTGCCCCAGACCAGCTCTCAGACTCAGGGAAACTCGCGAGTTTCCCGAGGGAAACTCGAGAGAAACAGAATGGAGCACCAAACACCCTCTGGTTTCGCTGGAAACTTCCGGAAACGCAAAGTGCTGGGGACCCTCTGGTTTCCCTCTGGGTTGCCGGAAACCCTCGGACAGGCCAATCGCAGGGCCATAACACGGGTCTCCGAGGGTTGGCTCCGTGTACCGGGTTTCCCCTTAACTGCAGAACGCCGCCCCTCTACTCGGAGCTAAAGAATACTCTCCGAGGGCAGAGGGATAGTACCGCGCTCCGGGTTTCCCCTAGCAGCAGAACGCCCGTCTAAGCGCTACTTTTTTCGTTTACCCCCATTATGCGAGTAGGCCCCCCGGCCGGGTCGTTGTGGCCCGGGGCCCTCGCGGTTGCGGTTCGGCCTTGCGCAGCGACGGCCGCGCGCGATGGCCGACGGCTACCCGCCCTATCGCTGCCCCGGCCACAACCAGCCGTGCGCGGTGAAAATCACCAACAACGGGGGCCCGAACAACGGCCGGCCATTCTACGCCTGCTCGCAGTCACCGAAGTGTAAGCACTGGTTCCAGTGGGCTGATGAGCGGCACAAGCAGCCGAGAGGCCGCACGCAGGCAGTGGTCATCGGCAGCGACGTCCGCCTCTCTGTCGTGCGCGACGGTGGACAGCTGCGGCTCAAGGTGGCCTTCGAGTACGACGAGGGCCTCATCATTTTCTGCCGCGAGTTTCGCGGGTACTACAAGCCCGAGCTCTCCGCGTGGCTGCTGCCGATCCAGCACAAGGAAGACGTAGAGCGCCGCCTGGCGCAGCTCAAGGAGACGGGCGCCGTCCGCTCGATCCAATCGGAAGCATCCGCAGCGTCCACGCCGGAGCGGGCGGCGGCGGGGGCGGCGGCGTCCTCTGCCCCGTCAACGCCACAGCGGGCGTCCTCTGTCCCGCCAACGCCACAGCGGGCGACGCCGCCGCTCCTCCGCCTGCCACCCACCCTCGCCGAGGGGCTGATGCCGCACCAGCGCGAGGCGGTCGAGTTTGTGGTGGGAAACCGCCTTCGCGGGCTCGTCGCCGACGACATGGGGCTCGGCAAGACTGTGACCGCGATCGGCGTCCTCGCTCACGCGGACGTGTGGCCTGCGCTCGTGCTGTGCCCCTCGAGCGTCAAGTACAACTGGCGAGCCGAGCTGCTGCGCTGGCTCCCAGAGCAGCTCTCGCCCGCAAAGGTGCAGGTGGTGGACAAAGGTGAGGACTCGCTCTCCGCCGACGCGTCGGTGGTCATCGCGACGTATGATGGCGCTCGCGCACGAGCCCAACGCACGGGCGAGCTCAACCGCTTCCGCGCGATCGTCTGCGACGAGTCGCACAACCTCAAGTCGCCAGAGGTGAACACTCCGCCGCCCGCCATGGCACCGTCGCCTCTCTTCCGCCCTCGCACCGCCGCCTCTCTCCCGCCCTCGCACCGCCGCCTCTCTGTCGCCCTCGCACCGCCGCCTCTCTTCCGCCCTCGCACCGCCGCCTCTCTTCCCCGCACCGCCGCTGGCCTCCCACCGGCGCGCCCCCGTGCGTGGCAGGCGCAGCGGACCAGGGCGCTGCTCCCACTCGTGCGCCGGGCCGTCGCCGCCGTCCTCCTCTCCGGCACTCCGGCGCTCTCTCGCCCGTACGAGCTGTGGACGCAAGCGAGCGCCATCGCGCCGACAGTCTTCCCGCCGGGCGGGCTCGAGGAGTTCGGCAACACGTATTGCGGCGGCCGCGACGACTTCAACAAGTTCTCGGGCGCGACCAACTTGGGCGAGCTCGAGGAGAAGCTGCGGAGGCACGTGATGGTCCGGCGCACCAAGGACGTGATGCTCCGCTCGCTTCCGCCCAAGATCCGGAGCCGAGTGCGCATCGACGGCGGCGAGGGCGGCGAGGGCGGCGAGGGCGGCGAGGGCGGTATCGAGCAGGCGCGGCTCAAGGAGAAGCTGAACTTGCGGAGGCGGCTCGACCGGTTGCTCGAGACGGTGGGGCACGATGAGCTGGTCGAGTGGGAGGGCGAGCGCTGCTCGAGGGAGCAGCTGCAGAACATTCAGCGGAACATGACGACCGAGCTGTACAGGCTCACCGGCGACGCGAAGCGGGTGCGCTGTCGCCTCCAGAGACCCTTCCGAGGCCCTTCCGACACCCCTCCGTTCTCCTGCAGGCGCGCGCCGTCGCCCACGTGACGAGGTGGCTGGACGAGCACGCCGATGACGAGAAGGTGCTGGTCTTCGCGCACCACGCGCCGATGCTCGACGCGATGCGCGACGCCCTCAAGAGGCGCGGAGTCTTGCTGATGCCTCGTCTCGGAGCCTCCCCTGTGACCTGCTCGGAGCCTTCCCATGATAGGCGCGGGGTCTCGCTGATGCGCATCGACGGCACCACCAGCGCGAAGAAGAGGACGGACCTCGTGCAGGCCTTCCAGGACACACGCGCGCCGGGCTCGCCGCGCGTGGCCCTCCTCTCCATCAACGCGGCCGGGGTGGGCATCACGCTCACCGCCGCCCACCACGTGATCTTTGCGGAGCTCAGCTGGACGCCCGGCGTGCTGGAGCAGTGCGTCGACCGAGTCCACCGGCTCGGGCAGAGGGCGGCCTCCGTCGAGATCGCCTACCTCGTCTACGGCCCCTTCGACGACGAGATGTGGTTCAGGCTCAAGGCAAAGCAGCGCGTGCTCGACGAGAGCGGCGTCGGAGCGCAGCAGCACGCGGGACTCCAGCCGTCGCCGCCCGCCGCGAGGCCGCCTTCCACGCCTGCCCCCGACCTCTCGCTTGCCGCTGCCACTGCCAGCGGCGGCGGCGCCTCCAGCGCGCGCGCACCGTTCAGCGGCGCAGGGAACCGGCTCGGCGGCGGCGGCGGCGGCGGCGGCGGCGGCAGCGGCGGCGGCAGCGGCAGCGGCGGTGGCAGCAGTGGCGCGGCGTGCTACCGCAACAACCCGGCGCACCTCCAGCGGCACTCCCACCAGACGGTAGACTTGACGGAGGAGGACACAGTGACGGCGGACAAGCGGCAACGTCTCGACGACGGCCGCAGTGGAGCGGGCGTGGGCGCCTCGAACCGCGGTGAGAGCAGCAGCAGCGGAGCGGTCGCCTTGGATTTGTCGGGCGACGGCGACGCGCTGCTGGCTAATGGTGCCTCTGTGCGCATTCACGGCCTCGTCAATACCGGCGTGAAGTACAATGGGCGTCGCGGCGAGGTGGTGGAGTTCATCCGCGACAGAGGGCGGTACCTCGTCCGCGTTCGCAAGGGTGAGGAGACGGAGGAGGTCTCGCTCAAGCGCGAGAACCTCACAGCGAGGTGAGGGACATGGGGGCAGGACTGTACATTTCATGTGCCGCAATTGGGTGTGAGTTCGCCGACTTTCTTCAACATGCCCGCAGCCTTCCTAGTTCGGCTGCTTATGTATGTATCGAAGGCGAAGAACAGCCAGAGGTGCTCGGACTGGACTGTGTACGCCGTGCGCGGGTTTTTCTTTTTTGAACGCCACCTTGCCCTCTCATTGGATCCTCATTCGGATATGGAGCCGACGCCGTTCTGAGTCGCCTACGCGCCGCAAAAGGGAGAGGCACGACCGCCACGACCGCAGCCACCGCGATGACTCGCGTGACCACCGCCGCGACAGCGGTGACTACAGCAGCCGCCACAGAGACCACTCGCGCGACCGCGGCCGCGGCCACAGAGACCGCGGCGGCGACAGTGAACTTAGCAGAGGCAGAGGCCGCTCGCGTTCGCGCTCGCGCGACCGACGCCGTGATGCCGACGCCGCGATGCCGCCGCCGCCACCACGCGACCGCGGCGATTATCATGGCCGCCCCGAGCGCACATCGAGCCTCTCTGCAAGCATTGCGGATGACGAGCCGCCGACGGTGTGCGTCTCTGCCCCCTCTACGTTGCGAGATTGTCCTCAAGCAGCGCAGTACAGCTTCTCCGCCAGCGAGAGTGCATGTTTGATGGCAATTAGTCACCGTGAGCAAGTGGTTGAGACGCAGCAGCAGCTGATTCAGCGCGGCGCAGAGGTCAATTTGCGGAACAGCTACGGCGACACCGAGCTGATGCTCGCCGCCAACAACGTTCTGGGCCACCCCGCCATCGCCGCTTGCTTCCTGCCGGCTCGGCTGCGCGCCGATATGCAACCGCGGTGTGTGTTGCAGTAGGCCGGCCGATTTCTTTTTCCCACCGAAAGCAGCCGGTTCAGGCGCCATTTGGCGTGGTCGTTGCCCGGGGGTTGGAGAAGGGCTGCGCACCTAAGTTGATGAGCGACGAGCTCGCCCCGAAGCAGCGCGTGATCATTCGCGGTCTCACCGCCGAGCACTTCAACGGGCTCGAGGGCCGACTTCTCCGCTTCGATGACAAGCTCGGGCGGTGGAAAGTGCGCGTCGGCGCAGTGGCCGGCGAGGAGAGACTCACGCTCGCCCTGAAGCGCGAGAACCTGGAGCGGCTTGGCGGCGGCGGCGCCAGCAGTGGCGGCGACGCGAGCAGCAGCGGTTGCAGCGGCGGCGGCGCCAGCAGCAGCGGTGCAGAAAGTAGCGCTCGCGGCGGGAGCGGCAGTGGCGGCGGCGGCACCAACAGTTGCGGCGGGAGCGGCGGCGGGAGCGGCGGCGGGAGCGGCGATTGCAGAAGTGGCGGCGGCGGCAGTGGCAGCTCGGGCGTGCACGACGGCAGCGGGAGCGCCGAGTCGGGCGGCGGCAGCGGTGCTTTGGCGGCGGTGGCGGAGGGGGCGGGCGGGGCGGCGGTGGAGGAGGGGGGCGGCTTGGCGGAGGAGGCGGTCACGGGCGGCTTGGCGGAGGAGTCGGGCGGCTTGGCGGCGGTGGAGGAGGGGAGCGGCTCTGCGGTGGAGGGAGCGGCGGCGTGCGCCCGGGCGGTCGCCGCTGCGTCTGAGGCGGGCGACGGCAGCCCGGCTGCTGATCCCAAGCGGCTGCAACGAACGATCGGCGGCGGCGGCAGTAGCAGCTCGGGCACGCCCGAGTCTGGCGGGGGCAGCGCTTTGGCTGGGGCGGTGGAGGAGGGGTTCGGCTTGGCGGAGGCGGTCGCTGCGGCGGGCGAGCTCTCAAGCGGTGGCGCGGCTGCTGGCTCATCTGCCTCATCGGGCTCGCAGCACCCCCGCGCCCCCGCGCTTCCGCCGGGGTGGAGCAAGATCACCGACTACGGCAAGGTCAAGGGCTACCGCGGGCCGGCCGGCGAGCGCGTCACTACGAGGAAGGAGGCGTGGCGCCGGCACGAGGCGGCGGCGGAGGAGGCGGGCACGGAGGCGGGTGCGGAGGCGGAGGCGGAGGCGGAGGCGGAGGCGGAGGCGGAGGCGGAGGCGGCGGCGCCTACCGAGGCCGTGGTGGCCGAGGGTGCGGGCCTGCGATTGCACCTCTCCAGCAGCAGCAATGCCGGGTACAAGGGCGTCTCCAAGCGCGATGGCCGCTTCCGAGCGCACCACTGGGTGCACGGAAGGCAGGTCTGCCTCGGAACCTTCGACACGGCGGTGGAGGCGGCGGCGGCGTACGCGCGGGCGGCTGGCGCTGCGTCTGAGACTGGCGAGGGCGGTGTGTATGCCAAGCGGCAGCGCACGAGCAGCAGCGGCGGCGGCGGCAGTAGCAGCTCGGATGGGGTGACGGAGGAGGCGCCTGCCGAGGCGGTGGCGGAGGAGGCGGAGGGCATGCGGCTGCACCTCTCCAGCAGCAGTGCCACCGGGTACAAGGGCGTGTACAGGCTAGACGGCCGCTTCCATGCGCAGCACTACGTGGACGGACGGCGTGACTCCCTCGGCTGCTTCGACACGGCGGTGGAGGCGGCGGTGGCGTACGCGCGGGCGGCCGCGGAGGCGTCTCGAGCTTCCGCCCACCCGGCCAGCGCTGCGTGTGAGGCGGACGACGGCAGCGGCCCAGCCCCGGAGGCCAAGCGGCAGCGCACGGCCCCCGCCGCCGTGCCCACGTGCCTCTCCGACTTCCCGCCGCATGGGTGCGAGGTGCTGATCGCGCGCCGCGACGGAGAGCCCCTCTACTGCGGCGTCGTCGGCCACACGGCGGACAGCCTGCTGCTGGTCCATGTGCCCGAGTACTGGTGAATTGAACTCCTCGGTCATATTGACTAGGCGGACAGCCTGCTGCTGGTCGATGTGCCCGAGGACTGGCGACTTGAACTCCTCGGTCACATTGACTAGGCGGACAGCCTGCTGCTGGTCGATGTGCCCGGCGAGGCGGGCCCCGTTGCCAGGTCCGTCCACGGGCTACGGACCGGGCTGGGCGCAGCAGAGACGCGGCCGCTCGTCCGCCCTCTCGCGCACCTCCCGAGCCGCCCTCTCGCGGCGCAGGTCGCTGCAGCCGACCCGCACGCGATGCTTGCGCCGCCGCCGCCGCCTCCACGGCAAGGCGGCGGCGGCAGCGGCAGCGGTGGCGGTGGCGGCAGCAGCGGCGGCGGCGGCAGCAGCAGCAGCGGCGGCGGCGGTGCCTGCGGAAGAGATGGCGGTGCCGCTGCATGCAGCTACTTGCCACCGTCGGCCGCCTCGGCACGGCTAGGGTACGAGGACGTCAACGAGTCTGGTAACTTCGTGCTGTCTGCGTGCGGCACGCGGCGGGTGGCAGTGAGGTACGCACGAGAGTCAGTGCTCCACGGCTCGTGCCCCTTCGCTCATGCATTCATTGCTTTGTTCATTCATTCATGGACAGGTAGCCATGATTCGTTCATTCTGTCATTGATCCATCCATGAATGGTCAGGTACGCGCCGCACGAGGCGCTCTCCGCAGAGCTGGCGGAGCGGGTGCGGGCTGAGCACGGCCTTGGCTGCGCCTTGCCGGAACCTTCTCGGAACTTTCCGTGGATCCCCGTAGGTGGTGGAGTATGGCAAGCTGCGCGCGTTCGAGACGAGCGACGGGCGCGGCTGGGGCTTGTGCTGCGCGCGGCGTCTGCGCCGAGGCGACGTCGTCGTCGAGGTCCGAATCTGGGCTAGATCTCGGCTAGATCTCGGCTAGATCTGGGCTGCATCCCGGCTGCCCCTCGGCTGAGTCGTGTCACACTTCCACCTCCTTCGCTGTCGAGGCGATCGGCCGCTGCCTGAGCGAGGAGGAGTACGAGGCGGCTCACCGGACAGAGTTGCGTCGGAGACAGTGCGGACAGTCGGCGTTGGATGAGTCATGCGTGCCTCCTCAGGCGGTCGACCAGACGGAGTACGTCGTCTCGTTCGACGACGAGACGCTCGAGCGCAAGCGGGCGGCGGGGGACGACGTGCTCTACATCGACGCGCGGCAGCAGGGCAGCAACGATGCGGCTCGCAGACGGCTCCTCGACGACGGCGGGTGACAGGCGAGCCTCACGACTGATAGGCAACATGATGCGGCTCGCAAACGATTCGGCGCAGCCGAACCTGAAGCTCCTCTACTGGCCTCCGCCGCAGCGGGGCGGGCTGCCCCGCCGCGCCTTCCTCGTCGCCACCGCCGACGTCCCCGCCTACGCCGAGCTGACCTGGTCGTACGGACAGCACTACCCCCGCCCGTGGCTGCCGGGCCGAGGGCCGGGCCGAGGCGACGGCAAGGCGCGCGCGATGCCGCCGGCCGTGGGCGTGGCCGAGGGCGTGGCCGAGGAGGCGGAGGGCTTGCGGCTGCA